GAGACCATTGACGTAACGTCAGACGGCCTGTCAGCTTCGCTCAATTGCATTTCTTTTGATGTTTTGAGGTTTGTAGCCTCCCAATGAATGGTCCAGCGGCCCTTTCTGAGGAATAAACATTACGATTCAGTATCCCTTTACGAAGCCTCTCCGATGATTTTTTGACTGGTCTGTAACTTGCGGCGAGGCTTACCTCTGACAACATAATACCACGAAGAAACTTTCTTTAAAACAAAATTCACATTGTTTTGCTCAGCGAGAGGCTGGCAATGGCATCAGGCTCGCCTAACTTTTTGTGGCATCCGCTGTTTAGCATGATGTCCGAGGCACCCGAAGAAGTCTTCGATATTTATCCAACTCAAGTCACTCGTCATAAAAATGGTGTTTGATTCCATGTCCTTGGTGCTCCATCGACTCACTCTAAAAGCATTCTTCGCTTTAGCAGGAAGATGTTCCTTGCCTTCTGCATCTAACAGCGCTGCTGCCATAATCGAGTATCGCCGTTTTATATACGCCTACGTTTTCGACTCTCGTCAGCGCGCACCAAGTCATGTTGTAGAGTGCGACCCCTAAATGCGCCTGATAACACTTGTATTCTTCTCCGTCACGTGGGCATTGAAGAAAAGGCCGTGAAGGTCACTCTTCGACACCAATTCCCCAATCACCTGCGTTATCTGTAGAGCAGCAGACGAGAAAACCGAACACCTGATACTAAAATGCGGGGCCCTCAGCCCATGCTCCCGTGGATACGGGCTGCCGGAGGAGTTGGGATTTCGGACGGCTGGGGTTGAGGGCGACAATTAGGGACTCATAAAGTACGCGTAGACCACCAAACGCAGACTGGATCACTAGTGGGAGTGTTCCTGGTGGCTGTGTAAGACTCGAAGTGACCATGGCGAACTCCTGGTGCTCCAGGTACAAGACGGACTCCTGGGACCCACCCCCGCCGACTCAACGGACTCAACTGATCCAACAAACGAAGAACTCGGCTAGTCTTGGCTGGGCACTTGGCGGACCAAAAGCCCCTTGATCTGTTTGCTTCTGTCTTGCATATAACGTAAAATACGCCAATGCACGAGGCCCGTGTCTCGAGGGGTACTAAGAAGCACATGGCGGTGCAGCACTGAAATGAGCGGCCCTCGGAAGCGAATGGCGGCGGAGCACCCGCTCGTGGCACGTGTCTCGTGTGTTCCACAACAATGGTTCGCGGTACTTGTAAGCGTGAAATTCATCAAAGAATTTTAGGCGGACTCGAAAATATGACTCAGCCGAGCTAGCTATTGGTATGCCCTCACTAGACTTCAAACGAGCGCCTCCCCCTCCGCTTAATTTTGGGCCCCCATTATATCCAATAAATTCAATCCAAAAGAAAAACCCGCCGTTAATGTCATGTCATGGGTGATAAAAGAAAATCTCACTCCATTCTGTCGACAAAGCTTGAATATACACTGTGTCAGACAGTAATTTGACTTTCACGTCCACCCCCTCTGAGTGTTGTCTTGTGTGTCCACCGTAGCTTTGAGCACTGACTGGCCTACTTTTGAGTACGTGACTTGGGTGAATCTTGCCTTTCTTGAATATGGAAATGGAAGCTCCGGTGTTTACAACAGCTTTCATTGTCACTCCATTCACTAAAATCTGAATATGTAACGAAAATAAAGAAATTAGGCACACAGTCTCGACTGGGGTCTTCGGGTCAGACTGCCAACTTTCCTCTACTCGTTTCTTGCATTCTCATTCTCAATAACGGATGGGGATTGAGACACTTGGCTATCGGCAAAGTGCATTGTAGAAATGTAGCCTGTGGAGCATGCTCCATTTCACTCGAGTATTTGTAAACTGCGTGTTGTCTGCAAACAATGGCCATTTCTCCCAGATCAGAGGATGATGGTGCTGTTGAGCGAGAGTTTGCTTCAGCTCTGTCATCCGGGCGGGTAGAGAAATCTTGGAAGTAGTATTTTTCAAGGTTCCGAGCAGCAAAAATGTTTACCCGCATGTTCTGTATTCTGTCGGCTGCGCCAAACTATGTAACACTAAAAAAAAAAAAAAATACCCATAACGCATCTTCTTTCTTTTCTTCTTTTTCTTTTTCCTTTCTAGATTTCGCGGTACTTAAGCTTGTTGATCTTTTGGACTTCCTTCAGGTTTCTTCTTGATATCTTTAGTTTTGGTGAGCCGTTCTAAATTCACGGTGACAGGTTTCTTTATAAATGCTTTTCTTGTATAAAGAGATTTTGCTATCCACACACCTGCCAAAACAAGAACACATCTTCGCACTGCCGCCACAAGCGACGTCAATGCTTGGCAGCACTGAAAAGTACTTTTTCTGTCTTACAATACGCAAGAACAATATCGTTGCAAGAGATATAGGATACGCATGGTGCATAACTTGAGTGCATACACAGTGTCAAGGACGCTTATATTGAAGAGGAACACTTACATTACAATGAAGCTTAGTCAATTAGAAGGGGGGGGGGGATCCGTGGCTGAGTGGGCTAGCGCACACCACCTCGCACGTGGACCGAAAGCACGCGCTACAGAGCCCAGGGATCCTGGGCTCAATCTCCACCCCTGCCCGTTTCGATCAGTATCTGGAGGAATATCGCACCGGCGCACAGTCATGTATCACTACTGCGCGGTGCCCGTTAAAGACCCCAGGCTAGTGGTTGTACCGCACTGGCTGAATTGCTCATCCACAGCTGAGACACCAGACGCCCACTAAGACAGACTAACTACCGGCTGTACAAATATACGCAGAAATATTTGCTTTGTTTGTGTGCGTCAACAAAAACTTTGGTTCTGAATTTGATGCAAAATCGGTTCATTCTATGCAAAATCTTATACGTCTCATCCCTTAAATATGCATTTTCAGCAGATTAGTCATCAATAGGCACCATTTTCAATATCACTAGGCTCTCAGGTAGATTATCTCAAAGATTTGAGATCATTGTCGGCCATGTCTGCGCTCGCACCGCCCTCTCTTTGTCGTCATTCCAAGCGCTTGCGTGCCTAGTTTCCGTTCCTTCCGCTCTCGCGGGGTGACGGTCCTGTCGCGCGTATCTTTATGCCGGATGGCGGTCCCATCGCGCATGTCAAGTTTCCTCCGGCTCCTTGGGGCGGCGATAGTTCGTACCTTTTTTCAAAATTCCGTGTGAAGTCTGTGTCGTGTCCTAAAGAGCTCCGCCGGTGATCCTCCTTCGCAGTGTCCAAAGGCTCATCATCTTTTTCTAAGTCGCAGGATCCGAGGAGGTAGCGCCATTGCCTCCCCTGCCTGCTGGGTGGACACAAACATATAGTAACATACAGACGACCAAAACCTCTAAAACGATTGACTCATCAGCCTCTGTCGCCATGGCAATCGTCATTTCGTTTTGTTTTTCTTCAAACCTTCAAAGGCCTGGAAAAGTTATCCTAATCCAGCCGCGTCAAGATCGCTATGTAGCTTCATCTAAAGTCACTGGATGTAGGGAAAACCGCGCCGAGCTCTCCGTATAATCGCCATTTTTGTTCATGAAATGAGCAGTTTCTTCGTGCCCTCTTTATTCTTTGTGAGCCTGTATGCATTCGCTTGTAATGGGTAGCTTTATATAGGTTTTTTGTTTTATTTTGTAGGCTGAGATTTTACTATTCACACACCGGCGAAAGCGTAAATCTTCGTACCACTACCACATGCGGCGTTGGTTCTTGCAAACATTGAAAAATAATTTTCTTGACTCGAAACTTGTAAAAAGAAAGAGCAATATCAATGTAAGAGATCTGCGGAGGGAAGCATGATTGATCAGTGGATTGCAATCACTGTGCCAAAGACGCTTGGTTATATTCGCGAGGAACGCTTTTCGTACTATGATGCTTCATAGCGATCTTCGCGCGACTGGTTCAGAACGACCCTTTGAAAGCTTTGATTTAAAAACAACGAAATGACGATTGCCATAGCAGCTAAGGCCGATAAGCCAACCGCCTTGCGTTGTTTTGTCGTGTGTATGCAAGTAGAGTATCTGTTTGTGCCCGGCTAGCAGACAAAGAAGGCCTCGGTTCTTCTTCCCCAGGATCCAGTGGCTTTTGTTCACACAGCCCCGATTTCTTGCGTTGCGTCACCAATGCATACAGCATACGTACAAGTAACCGGAACATCTGTTCTTTATATTAAGCGTGACTGCCAGCTCAAAAAGATAGCCTGGCACACGACATTCGATCTAAACTTTCCATGATTTCTGCGTAAAGTAAACAAACGGTGCTCTGTGAACAAGCATTTAGGGGAATGGAGGGAGTGAAATGAGCCGATGGTGTTGAGGTATTAGCGTGGTTAAGGGTTGAAGAGATTTATAAAAACCGTGCGCTTTTATCTTTGAAATTGCGTGGCGACAAAGGCGTTGCTTGATCTCAGCTTTCTGTGAGAGTATATTTCTGTCGCACGAGCACCAGTAAGCTTATATCAAACAAATCACATTCGTACTCAATATCGTTGCACGTCCCCTTTAAGCTGAAGGCTGGTTTCCATATTTGCAAAAGTAGCGATCAAAACATCCGAAACATCAGAAGCGACCAAAACAGCCTAACCACCGTGATTCATAAATGGTTCGCAAAGCAACCTCTTGCAACGCTTGTCACGTTGTGTACGGCCAACACTTGTCCCGGTGACATTGTTGTTGCTTTCGCTTCGGTTGTTGTGAACGCAACCGATAGAAATGTGTAAACCAGCTTTGAGACTGCAGCCAGGGCTGCACGCCCGCGAGAATGAGACCTTCGAAAGGTTCTGAAGCTGAAGAAGTGCTCATGCCGAAAAGGCTCATCTCAATGCAATGTGTGCCGACTAGCCCGCGCTTGTTGCTTTAGCTGCACAATGAGACCAATGTTTTTGTAATAAATAGCTTTACTGTTCAGTCGTATTTCTGTGACAATCCCATGTAATATTTTAAAAAAAAGCGAGCGCTGAGGCAAACTTAAGCACAACTTTTATGGTAAGTAAAGCTGAGGCTCCTAGAGCGTCTCTTGCATTCTAACGCGCATATCAAGACAGAAAAATTGTGGCTTCTAATTTGTGCTCAAATACAACAAAATTGGACCTCTTTAATTAGACTTTCTAATCACGCTATTTTGTGTTACCGCCTTCCCTTCATGCCACGAAACGTTGAGTTCACAGTTAAAGCTAAGTTTTATGTTAAACAAACGTCTATTTTTCAGGAATTCGGTTTCCTCGTAAGTCATCGCACATTTCTACTTCTTTGATGCTGTTGCGGAAGAGATGCGCGAGTTTTGCGTTCTCCATGCAGGTCACTTCGCCACCCCGTTTGTACTGGGATTCCTGCGGGACAGAAAATAACAATATTTTTTCACATTACAAAAAAACTGTTTCTAATAGATGAATGCATAGCACTGCAAAAAAATAAAGGCCGCATTTTGTTTTAAAAGACAAATAATGTATTTAAGGGATGATGCTGCAATTTAGCATACTGATGTATTTCAGAGTGGTAATTTCAAAAAAGCAATTATTTCTCAGATAGCTTTACTAGCTCCTGAGTTTTCAATAAATTCGTAACTTTACTTAGGTCCTCCTGACGGGTTGTTATTGTAAAACTCTTCAGAATACGTCAGAACGTTTTATAAAATAGCATTCACAGAGACATGTCTTGTGGGGGGATGCTATTTTAGGCCTGCTTTAATTCTATTGCATTGGTAAAACATTTGCAGTCAAGTTGCACGATACGGGAGGCTATATATATTTTAAGACTAATTAATTAAAATTATTTTATGACATTTAAAGCAACAAAAATAGCATCGACTTCTTGTAAACCCTGAGATGGGGAACGATAAAAAAACGGACGAACACAACAAAATCTCAGGGTTTTGTTGTGTTTGTCCGTTTTTTTTATCGTTCCCCATCTCAGGGTTTACAAGATGTCGATTGATTACCAGCTCGCCTGCACTCTCTCACTGCTTACAAAAATAGCATCACCGCATAAAGCATGCCTTGGTAAATGCAATTCAATAAAAATGTCATATAGTCTGAAAAATTTTACGCTTACGACCCGTAAGGAGGACCTAATTAAAATTGCAAATTTATTGATAACTCAGGATCTGGTAAAGTTTTTTCAAAAAAGATTTACACATTTGAAATCACTACTGAGTAATACATCAGTAGACTATAAGTCAGCACGATAAAAAAGAAAACAAAAAATGTAAAGACCAGCATTTTTCCTAAAGGAGCGATAGCTTTAAATTCTTTTTACAAAAAGACATCAAGCAGTTATTTCGGCAAGCCAAGATCATATATATTTTGTTAGTTCCCCCGCTAGGTTTAGTGGAAAAGAAGTGAATGAAATCGGTGTCGCACTGATTATACAATGTACAAACGAGTCTGAGGACAGTCTGAGGCGACTTTTGTTCCCGTATGAGTCGAACTCTTGGTCATGTGAAAATTTTCTGTAGGCATGTTCGAAGCCACCATGCTTTCAACATACTTGCGGGAAGAGGTCACCAGTTAATTCTTTCAACACATCTGCAGTGAACAGTTAGTATTTGGTATGATGTGCACACAGCTTGTCTGCGGCTTTGAGGTACCGCATTTTTTTGTGTTATATTCCCTGAATACTACACATTTACAAAATTTGAAAATTTACTTGGTTCGGACTATCTACAGATGCAGACTATACGAGGATATTTTTTTAGGTCGATCGCTGTAATGAGACTTGAATGATTTCATGAAAAGCCGAGTATAACGTATGACTATAATAAAATTACGATTTTGCGGATTTTTATATTTTGTGAGTGAAATTTGAAGGGTGTTTTTCGGAGATGACTTTTCACGGGAAATTGAGGGCTGCCGAAGTGTCTTTTGCTCAATTCCACTTTTCTGAAATTTACAAATTAATTTCAATATTTTTATTCTTTTTCGATGTAAAATATTAAATAATGTCTGTACAAAAACGTACACCAACTTCATAAAAAATCACCTGTATCAAAAAAATTTTCTGTAGCTGCATTCAGCATTGGCGGCAGTACTAACTGCCCACGACAAATCTTGAAAACAATTGAAGCTTCATGAAAAATTGGTACCTTGAAATATCAAACACCTGTGAGCATAAAACTTTCAGCTGCCCTCCCAGTCCTATACAATTCGTAGGTTCGCTTCTTTCACTGTAATAAAAACACAGCTCGTCCTTTCTATAATCGTCAATAGTCTGCGGAAACCAAGTCGTCTGCTTTTTGCGCAGGAGTTGCGGTGACGTCAGAACGACGCCGAGCTCTGATTGGTTACGATTGAAAGAATAGTTGATAGATTTCAATGCTAGATGCCTGGAGGCATCTAGCATTGAAGCATTTAGCATTGGATGCTTCAATGCTAGATGCTTGATGTCCGCACCATCAAAGCAAAAAACTTTTTATTCTTGACCCTATTTTTGGCTATCAATATACACAGGGTGCGGACCATAGTCAGGAAAGTCAGATAGCTGCACACAAGTAGAGAGTCAAGTTTACTCTTGGAACGAACACTCGCTTTCTTCGGTTGTTCAAACATTGCTACAGATAACGAAGTGATTAACCCAAGAACTATGACCGCGGCGCATACGAAGCGAAGAAAATTTGCAGTACAGCTGAAACAATTTCAGCACGAAATAAAGCAAGATTAAAGATACCAAAATCTTCCCAAAACTTGTAGATGACGCTTCAGCACGGGATCGCCAACGACTATGCAGAAGGTTTTCAAGGAATAACGTTTTTTTTTATGCCAAATTTGCCTCGGAGGTACACCGACTGCATAAAATGCGGTATATGTTGTGACTGATGGAATCGCGAAGGTAATATAGTTCCTTTAGGGGTCCGAATTGTCTTTCTGAACACCCGTTGTAGTTGTGCCTTTGTGGTGAAGACGGTTGAGTTCTTCGTGGAACTGCTGTATCAGGGACGTAAAATTCCCTACTGGGAAAGTTTTGACAGCTCTAAGCATTTCCTGCTCGCTCCTCAATTTCCGGTGGGTAACCTCAGTTAAACCGAGACTATCTGGAACTATATTCTACTCGTGAGTAAAGTAACTATGTAATCTACTTATGCAGAAAGAAACGTTAGTGGTGACAAATAGTCCAATCTAATGTCGCATTCGACGGGGACGCACCGCACCGCACCGCGCTGCACCGACGGACGCGTCACGTTCACCTGGTCGTGTCGGTGCGGCTGCACTACGTTCGCCTGGGACCAGAGTGTCGAACCGATATTTTTATTGGTTCGGTTCGGGTTCGGGTTCACGGCTTTCGGTTCAGTTCCGGTTCAGTTCCGGGGCGCAAAAAATAACGGTTCAAACCGGTTCGAACCGGTTTGAACCGCTAAATTGAGAATATATTTTCCGCGTTGTTCTGTCAATAGGCGCTATTTAGGCCGTGAAACTAACTTCTGTAAACGATCTGATTTTTGCGAGGACCTATTTTTGAGAATTTCGCGAATCGCCTACAATTCGCGAAAAATGGATCCAGCGAACAATTTCGGTAAAATGTAAACAGATTGAAATTTATATTGAGATTCCACCGCGTCGAGAAAATTACAACCGGCGAATTATTCCGAAACTTCAGCTTTGACCTAAATCGCGAAATATTGAGCCCACGAAAAATAGTCGTTAACAGTATATAGTCTTTTTTTTATTTGTTCAATTCAGTTTTATTCTCAGGTACCAAAATTTTAAAATTCTGTTATTTATTCCTACACAACAAGAAAGGAAAATCTACGTTAACATACAAAACGTCGTGTTTATACGACTCAACATCCCTTCGTTTACCAGAGTCACATATATTGTACCTGAATCGAAATGTTTTCGGAAGTGGAGTAGGTTGCCTAAAATACCCGTGATTGGTACAACTTTGTGTCGCAGTGTTAGATGTTGAATCGTGGTTTTGCCCTTGAACTAAGGAATTAATTACAGTGAATACAATCATGAAATGGGCACCTCGTCGCCATATATATCATGAAATGTGTTTTACGGAATACGTTTCACAATATATATATGATGACGAGACGACTGAGCTTAAGGGAATATAATTTTCAAAATGTCACGAAAGTCACGGGACAAGTCCTTCCAGTCTATATTTTATAGGAACACTAAGCGACAATCGCAATGCTTGTTTTTCTAACTAGCATATTGTTTGCTCTCAGCACCATGATGCGGGCGACGAATCATACGAAAAGGAGTGGCTAAAATTGTTCACTCTAACCTATGAGCACCTTAGTACTGAGATCGAATCTGACCTAAAACAGTGCTTACCCATGTGAACATTTTCTTATATTGGATAAACTGGCATAGCCTGGATGTTGAGGTTTGCTCTTGACAAAATGCAGGTCAATTTAATTTGCAAATAAGCATCACCCTCGCTAATTGATGATTTTTGTTAAATAGAACAAAGTGGTATTTCATGCTCTACTCAATTCGGAAGCTACCTAATTGGACACTTTCTGAGAGTTTAAGTGTGCAATCGTCATAGTTCCACCATTCGTTCCAGTAAAAAAAGGCGACAGTAAAAACACATAAAAAACGCGATAATAAACTTCTGTATATTTGAGAAGTTATATATGCGTGAGGAACACATATAGTTATTTAAATTAGCCTCAAAATAATAAAAAAAAGCATTATTTAAATCTTTTCAAAATCACCTATAACGTGTCTATAGAGGATAAAAGCGCCGAAAAATATTTGCCGAACATCTTTCAGATAATTTAAAGGCGCATTTACTTATATATCTTGGAGGTGAGAATCTTCTATTTATGCTGCCAAATCTTCAGACAGGAATTAAGTAAATTTTTATTATCATCGATAAATTTGACTTTATGAAGTTCACATAACCGCCTGAGACCGACACGGAAGGACGATACTTGAAAATACGCCAGCTGTTGTGTCTTCGGCAACGTGCTTTTGTTAGCTGTTTTGCAATGTAAAATAGTGGGTTGCAGGGCATACCAAAAAACACTGTGGTCACATGACATATCGGAAGGCAAATACACGAAATGTGCAGAAATAAGGAGATGACACGCAATTTTTTCTAAATAATCCCTTACACAAAGCTTTACTGCAAAAAGAAATGCATAGAAATGCATAAAATGATATTCCTAATTAAACATAGATTCCGCGCAGGGCAAACAAAGATTTTTTAGAATCCTATATAATATAAATCACTTTTGGGCATCAGCTTGCCTCAGCTCGAAACGTCGCGGGATACTACCTCGGGAGGCTAATGTTATTTTAGGTTTTACGTGCTCTTGTTTTGAGACCTTACTTCATGACTCTGTTCTTTATCAGTCATGTGCTCCAACATTTCATTAGGCTGCCGTATATCATCGCGAGACTACTATAAATACTACACAACTTTACACATTGGACGTCTACTGCTGGTGTTGCGAACGTCGCACTTCACCAGAAATCTGAAGTATTTAACATGGTTTGCACGTGACGTAATCGCACTAGATACTGGTTGTCATTGCGAGTTGTTCTTGCTGAGAAAATCAAATCCGGTTTGGCAAAATGCACGCTGCAAAAGTTTCGCGCTCAGTGCAAGCTATGTATTTGAGAGGCACACATTTTTCTTGTTGGTACATCGTCGTTAGGCACGGCGCGAGTATCTGGCACGACGAAAACGTGCTTTCTGGCAAGAGTGTTTTTACAAATAAAAGTTGTACCAACTACCCATCTGTCACTATTGTTTCCAGGCCACGCTTTCTAGTCTGCGCCGAAAATGTGGGGCAGAGGAATCTTTACGACACAGTATGCTTTAAAACTACCCCCCTCACCACTCCCTTTTTTTTTTAGTTGCTCCTCAAGATACTTTTTATTCCTCAGGGATTTCCTGCTCCGTATTGAGTGGTGTTCACTCGACAATTATATTTGTGTCACTTGTTAACAGTAATTCTTCCTTGCTTTAACTTTGCACCAAACTGTGAAGGTTAAACAAAATACAGGGCGGTCGAAACTTGGAGAACTTGAGAGCGACACTCCTCTGAGACTTAGAGCGGCTGCCAACGTTCGGCTATCCCCGTGAGGCCACTAGGATCTTTCTTTTCAGGTATCCCTCCCGTGCACACTAATAGTTCCATGTAACGTCCGACTAATAAGTCACATTTAGACCCTTTAACACTTCTATTCTCGGGACAACTTTCTGAGGCAGTTCAGCAATAACGAAAACATGTTTGGGAGCCTCAATGGTGTGCATACATGTAAAATGGGTCGTGCAGCATCTTTTTTTTTTTTTACCTTAAGTTGAATAAATACCGCTAAGTTGTAATCCTTGACGTTGATAACTTGCAAAAGCATCCATTAGTTTGCCCCTCCGCGAAATGGCAGACAGTCGAAAGAAAGAAATGAAACAGCTTTCCCCTCCTCAACTCACAATTAGAACTATCAGCCACGTGATCTGATCCTAATATATACACCGTCAGTGTTTATCATAGTCATACGCAGGGCTGGCAAAGCAGAGAGCATGGGCTGATCTTCAGATATAATTTTAGTTGGGCTATAATGCCCGAGCCCCACTAAAGCGACAAACAGAAACAAACGACAGCCTTAAACCAGAGTATTTCGCGATTTGACAGGCTTTGTAGAATAAAGAAGGCTATGCTCAAACACGAGTATCATGCACACGATGGTACCATTTGCAGGCTTGTAAACACTTGTGCTAACTTCGCGAGCACCGAACAACTCAAAGCCGTATAAAGGTACCATCGGGAACATGCTGAATGTGTCTGAGGCTTGTCGCTTTCGTTTGTTTCTGTTTCTAGCTCTAGTGGGACTCGGGCCCATCATAATCTTTGAGTTGAACACGAGCGTTACCCGAATGTTTGGCGATACTGGTTGTCATGAACCAGAGCATTTGACTCGGGATCATGAAAATCGGGTACATCATGGTGTCACGTGACTCTCAGTGCGAAGTTGTGATGTCATGTGACGTCACGGTATCAACAACGTTAATAGATCTAGCGACGTCCTCAATTCGAATCGACTTAACGCGGTGAGTCACGTGACGTCACGGGGTCACGTGATGTGACATTACTTGACAGCATGTCTTGACATCATGACGTCACGTGACATTGTGACACATGGCTAATCATAGTGCCAATAAGAAAGCGCCGCAAAAAAACAGGATTTATTATACATTGCAATTCTGTATATGACGATTTGATCAATACGTAGAGGAATACACGTGCCAATAATAATAAATTTGTAATACTAACAAAAAAAAAATACCGTGAACCGTTTCGAACCGGTTACCGTTATATTTTTTTCCGGTTCAGTTCCGGTTCAGTTCCAAGATGGCGGCGAAGATTTCGGTTCGGTTCAGTTCCGGTTCGGCTAAAAATAACGGTTCTGTACCGGTTTTCGGTTCGGTTCGGTTCCGGTTCGACACCCTGCCTGGGACTTCATGCCGCGCGCTGCACCGGTGCGTTGCCGCACCAGCTGCACCGTCGGAAGGAGACCATGCAGGTCCTCGCACTGCGGCCTTGAGACGCTCTCCGCTTTCTTCGCCAGTTCCTCTCTCTCTCGCCTCGTCGTCGGTCTTCCGTCCTCGTCTCGCGAAACATGGCGGCCCGCAGCTTGAGAGAACGTGGTGTCGGTGCTGCTCTCTTCTTTTCCTCAAGCCCTCTGCTCTGGCTACGATTCCAGCAGTGACGACGGGCGTCGGTTTTTCCCTTTTCGGGAAGTGTGTGTGTGCGGTGCTGCGTTGCGTCAGCCGCCGAGCAACCAGTCCACCACGCCGGGCACGTGAAGCTTTCGTCGTTCGTCGGATTCAAGACGTCGGTGAGTGTTCGGACTTCGTTTGAACTTTTCCCTGGACTTTGGGTTCGGCAGTGGGGACTTGCCTTTTCGGAACTTTCGTCTTCTTTGCACCGGAGAACTTGCTTCCCGGCTGCAGTTTGTGTCGCGAGCGGTGAGTTGTTTCGCGTTGTGTCGGGAATTGAGTGCTGTCTTGTTCTTTTTCGCGGCCCCGCTGCCCGAAGGTTCGTCAGTGTGTTGTTGCAGTAACGCGTGTTCGCATTTCGTTCTGATGGTTTTGTCGTGTTGTCGCCGTGCGCGGCTTTTTATCGCCTAATTAAATTTCTTGTTTTTCTTTTAACCCCTGCGTGCCCTCGCCTCTGTCGATTTTCACACCGGACGTGTACCTATTGCTTGTCACCAGTCCGACAATAAAATCACATATGTGTAAACACTCTGTTTCATAGTCCATGTGTTTTTGTTTTTACGTTGGCGGGCGAATTTTCGGTATAACAAGTACATACTTCAACCATCCACTTGAAAGACAATTTGTAACTTTCATTCCTCGCTAGATGGCGCGAGCCGTCGCCCCACTCTTGCAGATATGTTTTACCGTCCAGCAGTTCATGTTTTGCCCTTGCAGTGACCGCACCGAGCGCGTCGCACGGCGGGATGCTTCGCGTTCGCCTGGTAGTGCGTCACGTGGTGCACCTACACGGTGGCGTGGCCTTGGGGGAGACATTTTCTCGGTGCCGTGCGCGCCCCAGACGAATGTGACATATGAATGTGACTTTCAAGCCTGCAGAGACTTGGAAGTCACTGAGCTTCAAGCACACGCAGGTTCATTGAAAGAAGCAATCGCATTATAACCAAGGTCAAAATAAATAGGAATGCGCATTTGACGTTTGAGTTCTATAAAATGTATACAATGTCTACGCATGTTGTCTCATCAAACTACCACAATGCTTACGCGGCATCCCACCATATATTCGTTGAAACAAAAACTTCTGTTTTACTTTTTATCATATTTATAAACAATCTACTCAATTAAACGTTTAAATACATGGAAAATTACTCACCATTCTATTAAGAGAGGAAAAACAGAAGAAGTTAACCTTCTCGGCGACTGCCCACTTGCTATGGTCCTCTCTATAACTGAATATGATTTGATCTTTTTTGTGGTGACCGAACATAATTATTACTGTCTTTACGTTCATCACGGAGTAAGTCTTTCGGCAGAATGATGTCTCCGCTTTTCCGGCCCCGTTTCTCCAACTTTCGACATAAAGATTATCCTTGACAATATAAGGAGCCACCACTGCAGCGTATATATCTGCAGAAAATGGAAAGGTGTTAGATGACCACAGTTTCAACTAAAATATCCATCATGTTGGGAGCTTCGGAATAGAAAACAGGCATATTGAGTAACATTTACTACTAGATCAGATTAAAAGCGAATAGTGTATAGTGGGTGAAAGGTTAAGAAGTCAGTAGATGGTCCGTTTCGATCGCGGCCTAATTTCTGCCGTTGATAACACTTCGACGCACGTGTATCCAAAGATGCTGCAACAGAAGGCGACGAGCGCGTAGTAGAGGCAGGACTTCTACTGGTTTCTTAACTTCTCATGGACTATACATCAGACGGAAGAGTGGACGCTTCTTCGGACGTCACTCCAACACATGGCGTTTGTGGACACGGCGATCACATGGAGATCTTGGTGAGTTTGTATATGCACAGTTATTGAGGATTTCTTTGTTTTAATTTTACGCAAGATATCATTCCCAATACCAGGCCCACTACCCGAGCAAAAAGGTTTTATGTACGGCAGGGTTTGGTCGCGGAAGCTTGTGATATCTTTTGTTTTGGCATTCTATTATTACTAAAATATTAAGGTAGGCTCGTCGGATATGCATTTTCGAATTGCATTTCGCTACCTCTTTCTCGTCTTTTGTGTTATGATTAAAACGGCAGTTGTGAGTAGCGCTTGTTCAGTCAGTTTCTACTTGACCATCGCGCTATTTATTTCGAAAATTCTATCAATAGTTTCCTTAAACTCAGAAAGCGTTATTAGAACAACTCAGCTAATGGTACGTTTACACTTGCGGATCCGCCAGCGAATCCGCCCAGCTTTTGCCGCTGGGGCGAAACGCTGGGCGGAAAATGCGGCGGCAAGGCGTATGGGTCCGGGATCTATTTCTGCCGCCGAACGAGGCGTTTCGCTGACCGGAAGTGGCATTCTCGCGCAGCGCGACGCTGCCTACGTCATGAGTAGGCGTTCTTCCGGGAGCTGGAAAGCCCGGGACTGCCCGGGAGAGACAGTCGAGGTGGGAACTCTCGCGCCTCCTCGTCATATTTGACGGGATGTTGCGAGAACAGCTGCCGTAGCCGGCGCCGCCGCCGCCGCTCGAAGGAAAAAGATGTAAACGCAACCCGCTCGTCGCCGCCGCCGCCGGGAGCGGATCCGCTCCCGCGTCAGCGGATTTCTTCTCAGGTGTAAACGTACCATAAGGAACTTTCCATAAACGCTGCCTCTACGAGTAGTATCCCCCTCTCCCCCGGAGGTTCGTCTCCCGTCGTTCGACCTGCCACCGTTTTGGGGACGGTTGCTATGGTAACTAGAGCGTACTCTACGGAGCACACAAGTTTTCAAGCACCGCGTCTAATTGGCAGTTTACTGTAGCGTTTCAGAAGAATACGCGACTGGTGGCGGGCTTGAGCGGTACGATCACTCGCCTGAGATCCAGAAGTGAGCTGATCTAGTAACCTCGCCCTAGCACGAGGCGAGCGCACCGTACTCCTTATGGTGTACTGCCCCTGTTTAAAGTTTAGCTGCCACGCTGTTGGCGTGGCAGGTAAACTTTGTTTGCTGCCACGCTAACGTCTCTTAATTTATCACTGATTATGGTGGCATGACTGTCGGGGCTAAGACGGAGACCTCGCCTTCTCCACATACAAAAACAGACTTCATTCGTTCATATTCTGCCGTTCACATGTTACTATTTAGCATTTCCATGCTATCCCGAGATATACGTGAACGTCCCTTGAAGAAGAAACGGCATAACAAACCTTGTTTCCACGTGCCGCGCTTCGCAATCGATTGCAGACGCTGTCTTCCCAAGCTTCTGAGAGTATCGTTAAAGAGGCTTTCGTTCTTCCTAGTAACGTAGACCCCTTCATACAGCAGTTTAAATTTTGGATATTTATTCAGTATAGTAAGTGGAGCGTGTTTTTGGTAGACGTTGGCGTATTGCACACGTAGATGTTGAGCTGGAAAAAAAAATGAAAACACAATTACTTTGGTGCTTTTAGTTCCACCGGCCGTTCTATCCAATGCAACCAAAATTCGGCGTCGGTAAACTATTTACATGACGTTGCTCTTAACTAATAATCTCTATTATGGCGTTATCACTGATGGAAAGGCCGTTGATAGGACTACCGGTGGCCATTGCTACGTACCAGGCGGTACATGAGAATCAGATTTTGCCGTATGGCGACCTCAGACAGGCTGTATTGCGAGAATGCGGGTGATCGGAAACTCGGCGCAGGTTCGGGTAGTCGGGAGTCCATTTATGTTCTAGATGGACATTCGCATTGCGAGAAAGATATTATTAAGCACTCAAGCATTTTGAAGGGCAGATCGAGAACCAGATTACCACGTGAGGGATGTTGCCGACTATAGTGCCCGACAGCCTGAGAAAGCCGGGGAGTGTATTACCGTGTTCGCACTTATTGCCTCGTGGTTCGCCCTTCGTGGCTGTTATCGGCTGATGCCGCTATCTGATTGAATGCCTCGCAGCAATAAGATGCCTGGGAGTTGTCACACCCTGCGATTCTCAAGCTGCAAGTTATCATTGTCAATTACAAGGATACCCACTTCTCACCTATAGCACCATATTCAGGCTGTTCTTTTTAGGCGTAACAAATTTGTTAAAAAGCAAAAATAAAACAAAAGCTACAGTTAATTATGCGATTTGTGCAGGTGAATTATAAAACCAAGGGGGTGTAGTATACTACTAATCATAACGATTAGTAGAAGAATGAGGAAAAATTTGTCAATGAACTTATTACTTAGACAAAATAAACATATGGTTCCAATCAGATTCTTGCTAAGGATCATCCAAAATCACAAAATAAACCATTTTAGAAATACTTTAAATGCGTGAAAAACTTACTAGTGCGCTAAAGGTCCACTTGGGCAGCAGGTACAAGACTGGGGCTCTGATAAGAGACGAAAGAATCGCGCGGGAACCTTATCGCAATGGTAACCTTGCTCCTGCTGCACGACTGGTAACTTTAGCGCTCCACTGCGCTTCTCACGGGCTCAGAGTGTTTCTAAGAACCTATTTAGTGGTTTTCCAAGACGCTCAGCAAGTTTCTAATTGGAACGTGATGTCTATTGTCAGTAATATAAAGTATATTTAAATTTGTTTACTCAATTAGCCCTCTGATCGTTCCGATTACCCTCTTATATTATGTCCCCCCAGCCGTATAACTCACCTGCAGAAACTGCATAAGTGTAGCGTTCGCGCCGAGTTTTAAACAAGTTTGTTAAGCTTAAAAAACAGAAATCACCCTGTATACTTCGAGCTTGCATGAGCGTTCAATGATACATAGTTAAGCATACGGTAGAGAACGCGACCTGCTTTTCTTAGCGGCTACCCTATAATATACTTAAGGGTGCCTTGAGGAGGTTCTGAGATCGCCTAAATATGGCGATCTCAGAACCTCCATCTGGTCCCCTTGGCAACATTCATTGATAACAAAGATAGAGGCACTTCAAAATCGCGCAATCAGATTCATTTATTCAGATTATTCACGAGACACCAGCATCACTTCTTTACGAATGAAAGCTAACCTTGATCTCCTCTCAACCAGAAGGAAATTATCACGCCTGTCTCTTTTTCACAACATTTACTATCATAACCATGACATCAGAACTTCACTATTATCTCCAGCCACTCGTATATTTCCTCGCATTGGTAACGTCTGTAAGGTTCGTCCGATTTCCGCATCGTCAGTTTCGTTTCTTTACTCCACCTTGCCATTCACAATAACGGACTGGAATAGCCTGCCTAACAGTATCGTGACCCAGACAGATTATAATACTTTCATATCCCAACTGACCATCCATCTGCATTTACACTAATACCAAAGTCAACTCGTGTTTATAGAAATGTTTTATTTGGGTATTTTTCTGTTTCATCAGCTGTTTTTCCCTAAAAATGTTTTAAGTGTGTTTTTTTTTCTTCTGTTTTTGCTGCTTTATATAACAATGTTTTCCAGCATGTAACCCACTTTTTTGTTTGTTCCTTTATATGTTTCTTCAGCAGTTACACCCACCTTGTGTTATACCAGCAATGGCCTTCGAGGTTTTAATAAATGATGATGATGATAACTCACTCTGCTGGCCCCAATTATCCTAGAAACCTCAAGATCACGACGATACGCAGGCGATTTTCCTATTAAAAACAACCAAAGATCTTCGGCGATGGGAGAAGCATGTTCAGAAACCAGGACCACTTTCAGCTAAAAGCAAGCCAAGGATTCTCACGCATCCATCCGGTGGAACAGCGGAGTGATATATCAAATGAAGTGATGCTCGTTGCCGATACAGCCCGGACTACGATTCAACCCAGCGAGTGCTTGCTCGAGAGCTGGCGACACGACAACTGTCTCGCAGAAGAAAATAAAGAAGTAACAACTTAGTGTACTGTTCTTAAGACGATTATTACAGCAATATGTTCGTTTCTAGAAAAAGAAATTGTCAACTGCTCTTATTTGCTTTTGTCATCTACAAAAACATACGTATTTTGTAATAACGGCGTTTACAATTTCTACGAAATGTTGCGTTTTCATTGGTCACATGTCGTTCTGGCTGCCGGAACAATGCTCTTCCCATCGCCAGAGATACCCTCGGTGTGCTCGATTTCTGATTCCTTTTTAATTGGGAAGTCGGCCGGGCATCGCCATGATTTATGGATTTCTTCGATGCTTAGATCCAGTAGAGTGACTTATCGCCGCATTTTAGGCGATCTCAGAAACCCCCTCGGGCGTGTTTAAGTTGGGTTTTTCTCCGGTCTTAATTCTGCTGTAACTATATGTTTAAAAATCGAAACAGCACATACCAATTATGTCGGTCGAATCTTTGGCGGAGAAAGTGACACAGAGGAAGAGCTGGGCGTTCTCTCGACCGTTCTTAGGATAACTATATTCTCCGCCGTGCAGTATGGGAAACCTCGGTACGCTGTGCTGAAGCCATACAGTGTTGGAGGCTCCCACCATGAGGATTCCTGCACAAACAGCGCCGAGGCGTGTCCTTATAACCAGAAGACATACTTTTTTTTTCGGTGAAATTGTGCACTAATTAACGAAAGAGAATGCACTCTACTCCGCTCAATTGCATCAGAAAGGACGCCTAGAGAGCCCAATCTTCTCCCAGCGCTGTGGGCAGCAAGCGTTCAAAAGACTAGGTTCGCCAAGAGAGCAGACACGGCCGTCTTGAACAGCGTTCGATTGCCCACGACGATAGATGTCGGAAGCCCCTCTTCCTAATTTGTAATTTCAACAACCAACAAAAAAATGACCACAAACGTCTATTAACGGAGTAAATTTTTATTGGACAGCATAAGAACGTAGTGTATAACCCCTCTCTTTGTTTGGAGGCTGAGTGAAACAGATTTCTTAGCCTCTAACACTTCTGTAGGTGGACATCCGTAGCGAACATTCTGACACGCTTTTTTCGTTTTTATTAACATTTGGTTGATTTTCGTTAAGATTACGTCCTCATGTACATGTAAAACCCTTAAGAGTGCACGCCTTTGAGGTAACTTTTTTGTATGTGTAATATGTCCGAGCCGTGATCTATCGGTTAGACAATCCAGCTTCAGCGTCTTTTTGACCTGAAACTGACAGATACAGTTCGTGTTCCAGAGTCTCTAGATTATAAGCTCCGAACTTGTTTTTTCCTTAAGAGTGGGTCGTTTGTGGGTTTTCCCTTCTCCCAGGTTTCCCATTTCCCTCTTTTGTTCAAACTATATATAAATATATTCCTTGGCAATCGAAAAAATTGGGAATAAAGGCATATACTGATAAAATTGAATATTTACTAGCTGAGTGATATTCGTCGGATTTATATCATATTAACCTACATTAAAGTTGAAATATTTTTTTATTTAAATAACTTTTTTTTTATTCTGCGAAGAGCCGAGAAATTTTTTGTGAAGTGAGCACACAGCATGACACTGTCAACATAACCGACGAACGGCTCTTTTCTTACATATTAATGGTTGCCATTAAAACTACTCTACCTGTTTTCACCTCAAGAACCAGTTTAAAGAAGTGCGCCTCCTCGCGGATTATTACAGACTTTTGCTTTTATGGTTAGCATTCAGATATTTTTAGGTGCATTCCAGATTGGATATATGATTTCTTATTAAGACACACACGTTCCAAGCGCCAAAAGCATCGCTTTTTTTCCGACAACCAAATCTCATAAAAAATACTTCGCGCCGCGTATAAACAATGAGCAAACTTTATTTTTTCTTGAGGTGAAAACGGGTATAGTGCAATGGAAATTGCTCATCCGGGGCACAAACTTCTGCGATAAAAGTTTGTGTCTCATCAACCGCGTCTCTAATTGCAAGAAATTGCTTCGCGCTAACTGTTGCACGCTGTACCGCCTACGTGAGAGGCGCCTGAAATATAAAAGTGTAAAACACTTTTTTTATGATGAGGACCACTTTCTATAATATTTCAATTCCAGGTGAGCTTTTGTACGCGCTTGTCATTAGACTGTCGAGCTTTTCTCCGCACCCGCACACAATTAGGTTAGCTTTTCTCCGGTGAACTTATCTCCGGTGAGCTTCTCTTCGGGATTTAAATGTTCAGCGGTGTTCGACACTTCTTTCCTTCTCCTTTCGTTTTTCTGTCGTCACCGCAGTCTTGGATAACCCTGCAACTATCACTTTATGCATATCTTTATTACCACTAACTAGCGTTTTTTTCTAATTAAAATTTTCAATATTCAACAAGGTCTCGCCTTGGTTTACTAAACGCCTTTCTACTTTTGGCGAAGCTAGTGAAAGGTACACTTCAAACCTAATGTAAAAGATTTGCTAAAAAAGCCTTTAAATGTATTTTTCTCAAGACAACTAGCGCCACGGCTTCCCAGTGGCAAGTCGGTAAATTGTAGCCATGCTATTAAAAATGCAAAACTAAACCTATTATTGTCTTTTTAGAATCTCGTTCCAAGGGAAGTTGAAAATTTGGGATATTGCGCCCTATTTAAAGATTTGAGATCTGGATGTCATGGTTGTTTTGCTTCTCCTCCAGAGCATAGGCTCAATCAGTAGACTTTTTTGCGCTTAAGGGTGGAAACGAAGCTTTCTGGTGTCTTTTTGGTATCAGACATTTGTGTGATTTATAAAAAGAAAGGGTGTGTGTTGTGTGTGTGTGTGGGGGGGGGGGGGGGGGGCAGGGGATTATTGCAACCTCGATTGTTCTACCATTACACAAGCTTTGTGACCGGCGGAGGCATTTCAATGATTTAGGAATATTGCTTGAGAGAATAAGTTCCACGAGTATATTTTACCTTTAGAATGGCCGCCCTTCGTTCCATTGAATCCCTCTGGAGCCTGGTCGTTGTAGGCCACGTACGCGAGGTGCTGCAATGCAAAATGTAAGAAAGCTAAACGACGGCAAAATGTAACTTTTATGTTTTCATCTATCTATTTTCTTAGCAAGACATTCACCAGGCTAATTGATGTTTCGGCAGTGAAAATTGATTCTTTGAGATCTCAATTGAAACAAACAAGCTGATACTGCTTTGCACTGATTTAAAATTGATCTCTAAATTGTGCGCCTCTCAAAGAATGCCCTTCATGTACGAGCGTTGCCGTATTACGTACGTAACTATAATATCGCTATTATTGTTACGTTTACCATCATAATAACATTACTATAACTTTTAACAGAAACACGCGTATAGCTGTTTTTTCTGTAGCGCCTTGCTTAGTGAAATTTCATTAAATTTTTTAAACGTCCCACGTCTGTTGTTCCGTTGAGCAGGGAAAAAACAAACCACTGCAAGTTATGGAGGAAACGAAGGGAACGGTAATGTTGAAAACAAAATATTCAGCTCCGAGCAATAAATTACATACTGTGAACGGCTTATTGTTCCCGGGCTCAATACTTCGCGATTTAGGTCAAAGCTGAAGTTTTGGAATAATTCGCGGGTTCTAATTTTCGCGACACGGTGGGATTTCAATATAAATTCCAATGAGTTTACATTTTACCGGAATTGTTTGCGGCACATATACTTAACCAATTGTAAGCGATTCGCAAAATTCACGAAAATTAGGTCTTTGCGAAAATTAAGTCGTTTAGAGTATGCACTTAGCACTATAGACATTAGAAGTTTATAAAGCCAACTGAGCGGCGATTGCTGAGAACCATTTCATCGCTCTGCAGCCAATGAAATTGAGTCATTAGCCAGTAAAAACACCGAAGCGCGAACCATGCATCAAGAAGCATGAATATATTAATCCACTCCCAGCGTTTGAACGGTTTCTGTGACTATACTAATACATAATATACAAGGTCCAGTTAAAGATGAAATATCTTCATCAAGAGAAGGACGTACTAAGGGCTCGAAACAATTGTGAACACATAAGCAGGGTTCCCATTGGGATATTTTTATAATATACCACTGCACTGTCATCGTGTCTTATTTAATTACTTACTAGGTAACAAACTTCGACTATATGCTCTCTGTAAAACGGTTCCACTAAAAAGATAAAACCAGCCTAGTTAACCATCCTAACCTTGATTTTTTGCTGCTTTTCATACAGAGGCTTCAGGGTGTGGGCCACAGGGTTGTTTCGATTGTAGATGCCGTGTGTTAGCCTCGTCCAGTACTTGGTCTTGGCCTGCTTGCTGTTTGAGTCATAGTAAGCTATCTCTTCACCCTCCGGAGTTACATAATTGTCCGGGGACTTTTGCATCTTGGGAAGTTTATACATCACAAACCTGCGGGAAAATTTGTTGATTCAGACCGGAGCACGAAATTGCACCTCATTTTTCAATTTTCGTTTACAGTCATGTCTCGTTTATATGGACCCTGTTAATATGGCTACCCCGCTGTATGGACACCATCTCTAGAGACAAACTGGGGAAATACTTGCATTTTTGTCTCGTTATTATGAACAACTCGCATCATAGACGATGTTTTTGAGGAACGGAAGTGTCCATATTAACGAGACATCACTGTATTAATTTGGTGAATAAGTATCAAGGGAGTTTGCTCTCGCTGATATAACGGACAACACATCGAAAAACCTAGAACAGACTATTCACGCTTGGTATTTTTCTTAATCTTAGGACGACACTTTGTTCGATAGAGCACAATATTTTACTTCTAAAACTACAGACAATCGGCGGACGTGCCAAGTTTGAATAGGCCCTAAACCCTCAACTGCACTGTACAATAAAAGCCGGTGAGTCGGCTTTCCCTTACAACATTCGGAGTGCCAATCACTGCAACGTACGGAGGCAGCGCAGCGAATGCCGATGCCGAAACATGTGTTTAGACCAAAAAACGCAGTCGGAGTTGTGAAATTAAGCGATGCAAGCGTGACATTTTGCATTGCTTAATGTCACAACTCAGACTGCGTTTTTTTGTCTAAACATATGTTTCGGCATTGTCATTCGCTGAGCTGCCTCTGTAAGTTGCGGTGATTGGCTCTCCAAGTGTTGTGCGCGAAAGTAGTCGCAGCAAACTTTTTTTAGAGTGTGCTTAGCAATACTTAACGTATACTAGAGAAAAAGTCTAACTATTATATTGGCAAATGTAACACTCAAAGAAGTTAACAATTGACGGCGGGTACTTGAAACAAAATATGCAAATACGCCTTAGGGGACAGTTATGCAAAAATCATTGAATATTTCTTATACGAGGTAGTTAAGACTATCTTGCTGAAATTTAAACCACATAAAGAGCATGCAATTATGTTTCATTGGCATAAATCGCATTTGTTTATCGTTTCTTTTAAATTATGCAATTGTGAAAAAGGGGATGTGTCCTTTAAATTTGTACACACGCAGCACAAGCAAAAACAAGAATAAATATTTTTTTTCGTATTCTTGGTTAGTATTGTTTTTTTACGCTTTATATTCACAACACAGTTGATCAGTACTAAGACGTCCTTTAAGAGTACTGGGCCTCTAGACAAAAGAGTACTTCCGACGGCAGGTTTAAGGCTGTTGCAGTCTGCATCATGTCTGAAATCAAGTCAAAGAATCTAGGGAAAGTAGCGACATTGCCATCCATGCTTGCTAGCCGCAAACAAACAGACGACAAGACCTAGCAATGTGATTGGCTGATCGGTCTCAGTTGCCATGGCAATCGTCACTTTGCTCCATTCAAATTTTTTAACCTTCAAAAGGGTCGTTCGAACCAGTCGCACCCAGAACGCTATGGAGCATCATCACACTAAAACCGTTCCTTGCCAGTATCAGTGTCTTTGACGCAGTATATGCACTCCACATATCGATAATGCTGATCTCCACAGATCACTTGCAAATGGTATTATTGTGCTGCCGTATTTCAAGACAGTACAATTATTTTTCAAAGCCGTCAAGCATCGGCGCCGCATGTGGTGGCGATGCGAGTGAGTGAAACCTGTCTCTAATATGGAGAGGAGGATCGCCTGCCTTCATTTAGTACGTCTTAAGCAGGAGGGGCAGGGTTATTTGGGTTGGGGGGGGGAGGGGGGTGGGCGATGCGAGGATGTATTCAAGATACGTTTTTATAAAGCTACAAATCACCAGCGAATTTACATCGGCTGACCGAAAATGGAAAGATCAAAGAGCAGCTGCTAATTTTGTGAACCAAAATGGCGACCACACGGGCAGCTCGGCGCTCCACTCCCAGGATCGACTGACATTAAACTGAAGCAGTCAACGCAATTACTTGTTTGGTTTTTCCGTTTTTTTTTTTTTTTTTACTAACGTCGATAACCTGCAGAGAAAACAAAAACGCGCTTCGCATTAGATTTGTTTCGCCATTTCATTAGTGCACTTCACGTTCAAAGCGAGATTCCTCGTGTCGGCTTTGCTGCTAGCATCACTCTCAAAGGCTAACCATAATTTTGACTTTTTTGCATTGTCTATTTCTCATTGGGGATAGTTTCGCCGGTGCCACCAAAGGACATGCGGAGCCCTTTTCCTTTGTGCGCAATGCCAACAGTTCGAATCGCGAATGTCATTAGCGGCGATTGTAAGATCTATAGACCTAAAGGAGATATCTCGCAAGGACTGGCGCCCATGCGATAAGTCCGCAGCTAGGTTTTTCATGGGAAGTGTGTGTGCGTGCGCGGGGGGGGGGGGTGGGGGGGGAGTGGGCAGCCGTGTTTTTTAAGGGCTTTGGGAGCTTGTTGAGGATATATCCAATGCCAATTTTTGATTTCCAGGGCTTGATTGCACCGAATGTTGTTTCGCTCAATATTCCAGTCTCGCCTTGTCTACCAGGCTGAGTTTCATAACCTCACTAATCCGAATGTGCCCAATGGGGAGCCCGTAATCGGGAAGACACTCGGTTTGGTACCGCCCTCCTGCGGCTTACAGCAATCCCTACAGTTTAGACTGAGGCCCAGTTGAAAAGACTGCACGAACTGATTCATCCACGACGTCAAGCCTGGGTCTTGATGCTTAGTGTAGTTCCAGCGGCGACTGCCTCGGCATGTTACATGAACCTATATGCGCCTTTAGTGGACCCCCGATACACCGCTACTTCCTTGGCGCGCCTGCCAAGTGACCTACAACTAACCTAGTCGCAGCCCTCGGCAGGCTAATCAAAGTTTTCTACCAAAAGGTGTCACTGAATGCTTCGTCTTCCCTCTTTAGTGTGCGAGGACGCTGATCTTGTAACCCATGCGGATCCTGAAATGATTAAATCCCGGCTTCATACAGGCGTCTTTCGCCCCTGCATATCGACTGTGAATCAAACGTGTTCTCACCTAATACACACCCCTCTACCCTCTGTGCTGGCAGAGTTGGTGGCCCTCCGGGATATTATGTCCGCTCTTTTGCCTCTTACTGCTACTCTTCGCCCACCTCGTTCCATTTCTTACACCGATGTGATGCGGGATGTCCACTCTCTATGTCGTGCTGACCGCCCCTTCACTGTGGCGACAAACTTCCACCGGTTTGTTGTCCTGCCGAGTGCCCCTGCCCGGTTTGAGTACACTGGATTCGCCGTTCTAGCGTTCCAACTCATACCGCTGCAGACGCTACCTGTTATCCTCAGAATCCGGTCACGTTGTCAGGGGGGGGGGGGGGGGGGGGGGGGGACACCATGGCATCCGCTTGCTGTCCCTTTTGTACTGCCCAGTCCAGGGGCGGATCTCGAGAACCTCCTGTCGGCGTTCCCGGGACTTCAAGTGGCCCATCGGAGCGACATTAACCGGGTGGGCATTCATTTTAACCGGCCGTCGAACCTTCAACGCTGGACACATTGTCCGCACCCCAGCTCCCTTCTGGACATCTTGCAGGACGGTGGAATGCACTTTTATTTTTGAATCTATGCCGCATGGCCACCTGATGTAATTAAATAAAAATCTAAATGTGGGCTGATAGGAACACATCACAAGAATGTGATGCGAGAAAATAAAGATATATAATGTTTAGAAAAGAAAAAAGCTAAACCTGAACCATATCTAAAAACACATTGATTTACACCATTTTTTATGACTATAATCTAACAATTGACGAGCATACTCAATATAATTTGGAGGATAATGAAATATGTTGAAGGCATGTTGCATAAATGTGGACGTGATAATCTAACAACTCTGTAGTAAAGTGGTTAGTTAGTTGGGCGAGTTGGTAATGATTGAACATGGTTAAAATTGCGCACAAATAGAAATTTTTGCGCAATTTTAACCATGTTCTAACAACTCTGCTCGGGTAAAAATCGAAAGTTTCAGACAAATGTACCTGCCGCGGCCTGTTTGTAAATTTCTGAAAGCTATAGTTCTATAAATAATAAACATATACTTTAACATTGTCTTACTAAATTGTACAGATGTTACCCTAAAGTAACATTGAATATCTGTCGCTTACAGTTAGGATGAAGCGCGAGTCCGGGAGGACGACGGGGCTTAGGGCGATGACAGTCGCCGAAACCCCGTGGTCCTTCCCAGCTCCTTCGGTATTTTATTCATTTGAAACTAAACATGTCTCAACTTTCAGATACAGTTCCTTGTTTCGTGCAATGGGCTCAAAACATGTGAAAGTTATAAGAAAACATTTTATGTAAAATTGCTGGGCACATATGTTGCATACGTAAAACGTTCTAGCATCACGTGACATGATGTCACGTGACGTAAATTTTTCCACTAATTTTAGCGGATAAACTGAATTGATGTGTAGTTTACGTGACGTTAGTTTTTCTGTTAAATTTAGAGAAACTAAACTGTCGTGCAGCTCACCTGACATCAGATCACGTGACGTCAATTTCCCCGCTAAATATAGCGGGGGAAGGAAATAGGTGTGTAGGTCACGGGACGTTGATTTTCTCGCTAAATTTAGCGAAACATTTGGCGTCACGTGACCTGATGTAATGTGACCTAGGCTATATACCACTTCAACTTCCTCGGTAAATTTAGTGGAGAATCTACATGGCTGTGTAGGTGTGTGACGTCCCATAATGCAACACTGTGCGCTTTGCTTTATGGGACATCACAGCCCTATACGCTAATTCAAGTTCACTGCTAAATTTAGCGGAGAAACTGATTTAGTATGTAGGTCTCTAACGTCTCACAATGAAACACTGCGCGAGTTGCATTCTGGAATGTCACAGGCCACGGCATCACGAAATGCGGCTTTGCGAAATCCCGAGCAACAATACCCATGGAACGTTTCATGTTAAAATAGAATATCCCAATAGTATATCCGAAAGCCTCAATTTAAAGGAAACCGCCTAGACATGATCAACGGAAAATCATAACTCTAGGAGTGCAAATATTTCCCTGTTAATAAAATACTAAATATTGCCATCGTCAGGGAAGTTTTGAAGGCGGCGCCATCGGATAAGCTTTTCACAGACACTGGTAGATGGTTTCGTTAAAGCATGCTTGAGTTTGAATGAACTGTGAAGTTTTGTACGATGACATGCCTATCTTGTGTTGGTGATCGAGACGCGATGGTACATAGAAGGGATCTGTTAGTAGCTTTTACGCCATGGAAGATTTTCACAGATTTTTTGAAACAAACACAAACCGGAACGTTTTCTAAGTGATGCAAGGTTAGGCACGTTCAAACTAGATTTCATAGATATTACGCAGAGGTGCGACGATAGTTTGTATGAAGCGAAAATATCTATATTGAGTTGCTTCAATTGCAGAGGTCAATGTCAGTCCGTCGTCTCAGGTTGAAGAGGGGAAGAGGAGTATTTGCGGTTGGAGCAAGTGAGGGTTTTATAGAAAAGATGTTTTAGAGATATGGGGACGGATAAAAAAATCCATTTTAAAAATACAGACATACGTTTAGCATTATTTTTAACTATTGAATATGAACTTCCCAAGACCTATTAGATTGAATATAAACGCCCAAGTATTTGTGGGACGATAGTCTCTGTAAAACTTGACTTATTAGTAACTTGAAACATCCTTATCAACTACAGAACCCCTCATTCCCTTGCACTTTTTAGTGTTAAGCTCTACTTTTTATAAGTCACCACATCAAGCCTACAGTTAAGATCAGATTAAAGAGTTAAGATCAGACTGATCGCAACAAAGACGGAAACTCGAAGACTAGTCTAGAAAAAAAAGATAAACCACTCGAGTATACGAAGAGCGGTTTTTTTTTATTCCCAATTCTAATTAAATGAACTAGAAAGTTTTGAAATCACTCACCAGTCCACATCCTTTCCCTTTTCGTTCTTACAGTGAACATTGTGCTTGCTATTCGCACCGGCAGAGTTCACTATCTCTAACAATATGAATACAGCGACGAGATCTCTCACGGTATACCACATGATGTATTGATTTCCATTACTCCCAGAAGAAAGCTTTATAGCTAGCTCTACGAAAAAAAAAAAGACCTTTGAGCATTTTTTCCCCTTTGCTGCCATTGGTCGATCCTGACAGGATCGCTTTGTTTGTAGTGGGCCAAGCTACAAATGTCTGCAGTTAAGTAAATATTTGTTTTATTAACTGCACCAAAACTCGGTGCTCGAGGTGATGACACGCGAACTTTGCAGCTCCCCTTTTTTGATTGTGCCTTGTTTTTGTTTATTTGGATTGCTTGCGTTGGTTGCTGAACCTTTACGTACGCACACAAAAAACAACAAAAAACATATATTCACATATTGTTTACCCCAGATATTTTGCGCGTCACTGAGGAAAATTTTCCAACCGCTTATTTACATGTTCTGCCCAAGGAAAAGTTCAGTGAACCATATTGAAAACAGATAAGAGCAACGCTGTCCGCGGCCAACAGGACAAAGCGCGTGAAAAGTTCATTCAATGAAGGGAAAGAAAAATAAGAAAAAAGGGCACGGTTGTTACGTGGGGACTTCAAACGTGCTCTTTCCAACATGTGATGTTTAACGGGCTGGTTCGTTTTCACCGGGAGCCAAGTAGACCAACTAAATAAACTTCGCCTTAGAGTATCAGAACTTGAATCCCGATATATTTTTGTGAGCGCCGCTATTTTTGTGCCCAGTGGAGAGCGGGCACTAATGGCGTTCATTACTATGTGAAACTGCGACTTTTTGAACTTAAGATACGGTGCCAGGAAACTCGGGCGATATTGTGTGGCTTTGTCACAGAGCATTTGATTTGGTTATTAAAATCAAGGAACCGCTTTTTTTTGTTCTGGGGGGGGGGGGGGGGGGGGATTTAATATAGAGATTCGGATAACTAGCAAGAATAAATGTAGGTACCAAGATGGCTGTAGTGCCGTTACACTGAAGCATAGCTTGCTGAGTAGCTAAGAAAGGCACCACCGAAGATACAAGGCCTAGCGTAGCTCGGAAGCTAAGCCTTGTGATTCTGCAGGAAGGAGCGGGGCCCTGAAGCCAAGACCCCGGAGTTTGGGAAGATGGGCCATAACCACGTCTAGGGTGAACACCCGTCTCTCGACTCGCGGGGCCGTCCCACATTGATGACTTGTGTCCAGCGTCCCGTGAGAAATGCCCAAATCTTGAAAATGCCTCAAATTTACACTGTCTTAAGTTCACCATGCAACTTATGGCGCTGCTGAATAACGGGGCACGGGGAAGCGTGGAGGTCGCTGGTAATCGTGTGAGTCAAAATGGTACGCCATTTTTTATCCAAGCATTTAGGGAAGCGACCGCTGTTCTTGCAGGAGATTCGACGCGCATACGCCGTTGTGTCTCTCCCCTTGGTGGCTAAATATTTCAAGAAAAACTTGCGCACCAAAAGTTTAAATATAAATTATTGCAATAATTTCAAATCATGCTGTGTCAGTGCGAAAGGGTGGCTCTACAAAGCTTGCCACTCACAACGGTTATAGGGCTGGCTTCTTGTTAGAATCGCAAAACGTTGTAACGTAAAACACAACACGACCAGGTTTCTTTGCAAATATCACTTCGTCCCTAAGCTGAAATCAAACGAAACTCTCGCTCAGTAGTCTGCACTACCAGAGTTATAATGGGAAAACTTATAGAAGCCGTTATATATGTACCCATATGACCTCAAAAGAATTGCTGCAGCAATGTCGAACGGTTATGATGGCATGTCATCAGATAATCGCCACATGTTAATCCCATCACACATCAGTCTACGTTACATAATCACGTGATCACTATAGATAAATAAAAACCAACTATAGTGACGTGACACCATAGCATCACATGACATTATTTCATGTCGCCACATGACACGATTGCAGGCGTGCAATTTATGTGCAGATAGGCTCAGTCAAACAAGCTTATAATAAAAAAAACTTGCAATGAGCAATCCGGCATACTTTCCCTCAGGCACCTTCTGACATCAGGGGTGCTCAATAGTGCCACTGTACATGCATACACACATAAAAAAAACTTATAATGTCGAGTAAAATTCCACACAATAGTATTGTTTCATATACTTATTTTAACAATCCCTGCAATTTTTGCTAGCAATCACTATACTATTGAAGAAAACAACAACTTTGCCCTTATCCAAGGAAGCAGATATAGATGACAGACGGTCCCAGCTTGTCTCGCCACAACATCACTCGCCGTTCTTAAATACAAGTATTCTGGAAAATAACATTTAGATTTTATTGTGCACTAAGCAGAATTGAAACGAAGATACAAAACAATGTATGCCTGATAGATAATATCCTATTTCGTACAAAGGAATTCTAAAATAGCATGGCCTCCAGCTTTCGTTTAAGCTAAATTATCCTCAAGATAAACGAGAAATAAAAAGTATAGATTCATCTCAATCACGTATAATGAGGTGGCTAGAGGTATATTAAAGAAGGACAGGAGCCAGTCAACAGTTAATGGAGCCAACTCACAATGAAAGGAAGTGTCAACATCAAACCAGTTCTACGGAGCACTCACTGAACGCCATATTTGTGGGTGCTGTTTAGAGCGCATGCTCCGAACTAGCTTAGATTAATTGGTCGCTAATACCGGCAATCTTGATGGTGTGGAATACACGATGCAAAAGAACTGTGGAAGCTCGCCATCTTCATGCGATCAATAGTCGAGCTCATAGCTACCGCCGCCAGTGATTACTCTCTCTAGGGTGGGACACCAAACGCAAAAGGTTAAATTTTCTGTGGATTTGTCTAAAGCTTAAAGCATCTACTCAAAATGTGTTCATTGTTGCAAAATTTCTTTTGAAATCTACCATTTATTTAACATGTAATATCACTAACCGAAATGCTTAGCCAGAATTGTTACAACGAAACCACACATTTCAATTTTACTTTTGTGCTAACCAGGCCTGAAATAAGTCAAATGTTTGCCATATATTTTACATAAGTTCAACCTTCAGGGACGTCATGCACCATATAAAAAAATGCCACATGTGATGATTAGTTCATTGCCTGCATACCTGATCAAATTAGTGGCATAGGAGGAACGTGCAACAGAAAGGTGCGTCGTCGGAATCGCTATTGGTTAGTGTTGGAACTAAGGCGTTACAAGTAACGATATTACTGGTAAGGCGTTTGTTTTCTGACTATCCTACTAGCGTACTCGTTAAATTCCCAAATGACTAAAGAGTAAAGTAATGTCATTATGATTTTACGGTGTCTCCTCTCAAATTACGTTACGTGTTACTCGTTAGTGTTGATTAAAAATGACCGCATGATTGTTTGAAAACAAAATAATTTTTATTCTGTACAGTGCGTAAAAGTAGCGAAGAAACCGCGACAACGCGATGTATATAAGCGGCGTCATTTCAAACTCCTTCGGAAGACACTTTTAATGTTCTCACGACCGGGCCCAAAAGCTTCGAAATTATCGCTGCGCGGACCGCCTAAGCGTCCTAAAGATCACCGCTGCCGTATACCTGATCAGTGGTCTCACTGGAAAGGGACATCCGTTCTGAAGGCAACAGACTGCCACCGCTCAAAGGATGCTTCCTCAGCGCCCCAAGCTACTCCACCTGGTCACATCCTTCTCTTCAAAAGAAATATATTGTCGCTCTGTCAACAAGAGAAAAAGCGTTGACGTTCCCACGCTTTGAATCAAAACAAGTGTGTCAGCGGTGCCCGGGTGCTGACGTATCTTTAATTAGAAATGCCACGGTGTTCGCTGTATCATGCATACAGCGAACACCGTGGGAACAAAATCCTGGTGATCTCGATCAGACGACGGTTTCCCTGCAAATAAGCAGACCTCGGGACGGAGATGAAATGGAACCCGCACTTGCCTTCAAGAAAGTGCTTGCCGCACAAATTTGTTCGCGCCAGGCGACCGTTCTTTTCGATCCACGGACATCATCCACCTTCTGTGCCTTTCAAAATCCGCCGGGAACTTGTGCAAACTCAATGCGCTACTTTTTTTGTACCTTTCGGTGCAATTAACGGCAACACAGCTCCGCGGTGTGCTGAAATGCTATGACGCCCATGCAAAACGTGCGCACTTCTTCTCACACTTCCCGGCTCCGGCGCGATCGCAGCGCCGCCGCAGCTCCGTGACGTCAAGCCCGCGTGTCGGTCTATATTGACTATATCATTTATGAATAAGTTTCAAAAGAAAGGGCCCAAAGATGCTTCCCTCTGCCACCCCTGACGTCGGTTTCTTCAGGCTAAAGCACTGTCTTTCTATTAAGACACAGAGATGACGATGTTTGAGAAAATTCTCGATCATCCATGAGGCAACACCTCACACAGTGTATGCATTTAATTTAAGCAGCAACGCTTTATGGTTTAAATTAGACGTTCGAATGCTTTTGAAAAATCTGTAAAGACCCCCATGGTATTACATTTTTTCTATGTTATTTAATATTCGCTTTTTTGTTTTAATTGTGAGAGTTCCGTGGAATGCCTCTTCTGAAACCAAACTGGCTAGATGTTAAGACGGAATGTTTCTCACAAAAAACTTATAATCTGGTTGTATTATCTTTTAACACCCTATGAAAACACTGGTAAAAGCGAAATGGGCGTATGGCTTCCCAGGTGACTTTTCTCAGGGCTTCAAAATAACAGAAAATAACAAAATAACAACTTTTTTTAAAAAAAAAAGTCCCCATTTTCAAGTGCCGAACTCAACATTTATGTTAGAACAGCCGCAATTGATTGAAATACATATTTCAGAGGTTTGGTTTGACAACCTTGTATGTCATTGCTTTTGCCACTTCCAACGCTACTAAAAACCACGGCTACCTCTCTCTTCTTAGGGGGTAAGAAAAGGAGTATCAGAGGCGCATTTCACAAACGGGATGGCATCGTCTGCATTTACGTTCTTAACTATGTTTACAAAGTAGTCATTAAGCATTCGGGTCAATAATTCAGCAAGTGTTTGGTTGATTTCAATAGGAAAGAGCTCCTTCGTCTAAAACAACCAGC